CAAAAAAAACATGGGGAAATTTTTTGACGGTTGATTTTTTTTTTTTTTTTTTTTTTTTCTGGAGTCGGAGTGAATGTGTGGTTATTGTTTTCTTAATGAAAACAAAAATGAAATGAAATATACTACTTAGTGTTTGTGTATTGCTATGTTCACCTTCAAAACTTTCAATAAACCAACCAACAACAACCATTTGGAGGCCTTGGCTCTATGACATTTATAAATATTTGACAACAGATGAGGGGGCTCTGCGGGGCTCCACTCTGAGCAGCACAGATAAGTCTGCTAATAAAGCAAAGGCTATCAGTAGATCCTGTACTGAGGACTGCACAGAGTATCCAGGCAGCAGGGAAAACGCACACCTTCCAAGTGATGCACGCAAATAGAAGCACAGTCTCTTGTTTATGCTCTGTTTCTCACGTAGCGACACATGCAGACACTCACATCCATGCAAAAAGGCACACATTATCAAGTAAGAGGAGCAGCAAGAGTTTGTAACTCAGTCATCACAATCAATAATGGAGAAAATGAAAAAGCAATTAGATGCTTTGTTACCAGCAGTGATTGCAACGATACTGTGTGCAACTGTGTGAGAAAAGCTCCGCTTCCAAATCATCCCCTTGCATTTGCTCTGACACTCGAGACGAATCATTGGAAATAAAATAAGACTGGGATGGCCGGTGTGTGAACAGTCAGAGAATTCTCATTGACTAGATAAGCAATGCAATGTGTGTGCTCGTCAGTGTGTGTGTGTGTGTGTGTGTGTGTGTGTCCTAGCATGTGTTTGTGTGCATACCTCAGTCATCTTCCCAGACAGCTGTTAACCTTCCAGGTTTGAATGAGAAACAGGTGTTGGGGCCAAGCGCACCCTCTCTGAGGAAAAAACAAAGGCCGTGTAATCGCTGACACATTACTAATAACGTACTAAATATCACCCAGTGAGGTGATTCAGAATGTTTTGTGGCTGAGTAGTTTGTTTACTGCTGTAGCATGTGTGAATAAAGATTGTAGCACACCTACTGTGTGGATTTTTAAAAGCAAATTAGTGTTTTTCTTTTCTTTTTTTTTTTCCAGAGTGCCTTGCAAAATGAATCACACTGGCTTTTAAACATTTTGTAACGTTGCAACAATGTCAACAATGTCGATGCATTTTACAAGATTCTATGTGGTAGATCAACAAAACGTAGAGCTTAACTGAAGAAGAAGAAACAATAGACAGCAGTTTGCTGCAATTCACCATAGTGATGGTGACACTTCATGTGGAGGGTTTAGTGTTCTACTGCTACTAATAAAATGATAAATACATAAATAAAGGGCTGCATACATGTGCACGAATGTTTAAGTATTTCATGTGAAAAATCAGCAGAAAAGATGTAGGAAAAGAGAATCAAATGTATTTTTAATTGTAATTCATATGTGAATTACAAAAAGAATATTGTTGCAACTTTGTGTTCGCAGCACTGACATTGTTTGCACTAGTCTACATCTGTGTGTTTTTATTTGTGATCACCTTTCTCCCCATTCTTCTTTATATTTCTCAATCCCACTGTCTTTCTGTCCAGTTCTTTATCTTCATCCCGCTGTATTACCACGTACTTAGCAATTCCCTCGTAGCCTTTTTTTTTCTAAAAGCTCCCCCATTTTTTTTTTTTACTCAGTGTTGCTCACCCACCCACACCTTTGATCGCCCTCACCTTTCCATTTTGCATGTGTGCCAGGATCTGAGGGCCAACGACACAGAGTACAGCCCAGTGGCCTAAAACTGAATACTTACATAATTGCCAACTGTCTCCAATCATTAGGGGCAGCCCTTAAAAAAGATATGCTTTGCCGACAGCTGCGTCCCCTCGCCTTTGCCAGCCTTTCAAATCGCATTTGGTTTAAAGTGCTCGTCCATATTATTTTTAACCCTAAAGCTGTATGTGCAATGTAGACAACAGCAGAAATTTTATAAAGGACACATTTGTATTCAGAGTTCTGGAATATGAAGTAGATATAAAAAAAAAACATTAAGAACAGCAAGCCCGACTCCATGTGAACCAAACTGTAGAGTTTTTCTCAGATTTTTTTATTTTTTACCACAATAAGTTTCAGCTTAAGTTGATATGATTAATACAATAGGCAGATGCAGCCAACGTAGCCGCAAAGAAAGCTAAATGTAGTTCAACTACACAGAACAGCAATGTACATAGAACTGGTCTGTTGTGAAATTTAACAAAGCATTATGTGACACTGATGTGAACATTGTTAGTTTAAACTGTTTTAAAGTCAGCTGAAATAGAACAGCATGCGGAAATAGTGTACATCTCTAGATGTTAGCATTCACCTTTAAAATGACACAATTAGCTCATGAGGATCTTCCTAAAACATGTGAGGGAACAATAACCAGTAGAAAATTCACAGAACTTTACCCAGGAAACCTCAATATTAATAGTATATTACAGTTTCAAGTTAGTTGAGCTCATTTTTCTGCATTTTACCTTCATCTTTTACTTGCCGTGTTGGTGGTGTTGTTTGAGAAACCAACCTTACCCATATCCTACCGCTTTTTGATTTTTGTATTCTTTCTTTTTAAAGAGTGTACATTTCCAAGAGGACAAAAATCACTCAATGAAATAATTGAGTGTATTAATTTTTTTTCAATTCAAAGCTTAAAGTATCTCAATATTAAATAAGTTGGACTTTCCTTAATGCAAGATAAAACAAATAATTTAGATTAAATCCCTAGCGCTGCATCCTTTTATCGTTATTATGCTGATGGACTGGATACAAGCCGCCTCCTTGTATCGATGCAAAATGGTTGCTCTTAACATTCCTGTTTGGTTGCAAACGGTGTTTTAGTAATACTTTTTTTTAAAAAAACCCAGAGTTCTTTTTTTCCAATCTTGTGCATGAAATGAAATGTAAAATTTTCTTGTGAGATATTAAAAGCGATATACGTTCACATGCAACTCATTTGTTTATAAAACTACTGACATTTCTTTGCCAGTTCCTGCCGAGAGAAGAACGTACATTTCATTTCCTTGCTTTCAGAGAGACCTTGCACTGTATGCTTAGTGACAGCTGGGTCAGGTCCCCACATATTGAGGACACAGCTGCCCTGCAGACATGTGCTCATGCACAGAAACACGCATGCACACACAAATGCGTGCGCACACACATAAACGCAGACTCCTATGCACACAGCAAGCGAGAGCGGGAAAGCAGAGCAGCATAGAGAAACATACAACCACGTCTCTGCTGTCTGGCATAAAGCGTATCTGCAACAAGTATTCAGCAAGAAGCGTAATGTTATACTTATTGATTTCACGTCAGTGTGTGTAGACAAATTTTAATTAAAAAGAAAAAAAAAAGTTATTGAACTTTGTATGCTATAAAACTAGGTTTGACAATTACATTAGGAATTATATTAGGAAATTTGAATATTATATGAATTTATTTTTGGACAAAGAAGCATGTAGGATAGTTTTCGTGAGAAACTACCCTACATGACCATTTGACTGGGGCCTCAGTTAAATATGAAAAAAAAAAAAAAACTGAAAGGGGTTAATAAAGCTGCAACTTTAAGCACCTGTAAATGGACTGAAATTATATTGTGCCTTTCCAGTGATACTGACATCTCAAGCTGCACATTGGTAGGCAACTTGGGGCTAAGCGCTTTGCCGACGTGTAAGATGACTACTCTACCCACTGTGCCAGTTAACTGGCAATTGGTTAATTTTTAGTATAAAATTTGAATAAAGATTGTAACATTAAAAATGTTAAAAAACATAATCTCATATATCACGTGTTGTAAAAGGTTATTTGCTAATGTTGTTAACTGGAATTTGTGGACAAAAATGCAATTTTATAACTTGTGTTATGTGTTTTTATTAAGAAAGAAAAAGAAAGAAAGACAAATTAATTTGTATGTCAGTTATATTCACATTTTCCTCCTCCACACTTTTTTGCAATAATATGCATTTCCATGATATGATCCATGGATATTGCCACATCCAAAACGTTACACGCCAAGAAATGAGAAAATTGTTTCATTCCTGACAGATGGCATTTGCGTATGGCATGAAGCATGTAGGTCTAAGATGCTTAGACCTACATGCTAAGCATCTTAGCATGTAGGTCTATTGAAATTTGTCCGTATTTCCAGACTATTTTTTTTTTAAGTTGTAGTGCTTTGACGGAAACGCTGCGACCAAGATAGTCTTTAAAGAGGTTAGAAGTTTCCAGAATGACTCTCTGCACTGTGTGTGTGAGTGTGTGTTTGTCGGGGGGGCTCATCCACTTGAAATGACGGCTCGTGTTGCTTATCAGTGGTCTCCAGCAGGTCCAGTGTTCCAGCACTGGAACACTGGACCAGTGTTTGATGGCTAATCAAACTCTGGCTCTGTGCTTAGAAAAACGGTGACCTGCTAAGCCTTTTGTTGAGCTTTGAGTCTTTATAGTAGGTTCTTCCTTTGTTTTTCTTTATATAATGAGCATCAAAGGCCTTACGTGAGAATTAATATGTTTCCACTAAGTTGTAGTTTCAGCTTACTCACAAAAGTTTAGCTTCTTATTGTGTATTTAGACATGAAAATGTGTATTTAAATTTCTCAGCAATTCTTAATCTTGAAACTAAGCGTGTAAATCCTTATTTTCTGTGTTTTTGTGACTAAACTATACTTAAAGGGTTTCATTATTCTAGATGGTAACGTATGTTATATTCATAAGGTAGCTAACTCAGAATTCATAGTTTACTGATTTCTTTGTCTTACACAGAACTGCAGAGGCAGTTTCAAAAAGCACTCACTGATGAAAAGCAAATCTAATTTAAGAGACTAAAGAAATTAGTTTTCTTTTTTTTTTCTTTCATGAGACAGAAATAAGTATGTCAGAGAGGTGGTGTGTAAAAGTCCCCTACCAGAAGCTCCTAGGGGCCATGAATCAACCATGAAGGATAATCAAATCAAATGCAAATGCAGTTTGTGTGAAATTTTTTTTTCTGCACTTGATGCTTGATGCCCTAAGGGGCCTTTTCAGTTGTAAGAGGAGGGTCTGTACATAATGATGGGTCACGCTTGAGGGTCCTTTGTAAACATGGTGAGTGGGAGTCCTATTCTTGGGGACAAGATGGAATTAGTCCAAGACAAAGAGAGGTGTGAGCAAGGAGCATGAGGATGTCTTTTGCAGCTCAACCAAAACCACGCAGACAAATAATATCATTAAAACTCAACACCACCAAAGAAGTCTTCCTGATTTCTTGCAATTCATCGCATGCATTTCTAATAAATAAAAAAATGCTTGGTATTAAACGTTTTACACGCTACAGAAAAAAATCATGTTTTAAAGCCACAAAGACTAAAAACTTTGAAAGTGTGAAACATAAAGAAACCATAATCAACTTCTCAACTGTTTTTTTACAAAAAGATACAGTAAGTACGGTTTAAGTGCACATGTCTGAGCCGTTCAGTCTTGTCCTCTAAAACTGGTAGAAACGAGATTCCCGACACCTGTGAGCATCAGAGTAACAACCAAAGCAGAGACCTCGACGTCAAACTTCAATGCTTTTAAATCTCTGCCTGCTTTTTTCACAGAATTCTGACTTTAATCTCAGAATTCTGACGCTAATCTTCTATCAAAAGTCAGAATTCTTTTTTTTAATTATTTTTCAGTGGCCCTAATCATCTTCCATAGGCATCACACAACTTCAACAAATGGTGGGATTAATTTAGCTGCATTAATTTCTCCACTACCATAACGTGTCTATTTAAATAGCACTTAAAAAAAAGACAGAGATGGAATTCAAAATCTTAAAAACACAGACACAGCACAATAAAATCCAACTAATCAGTACAGTCAATGTCACATTATGTTAAAAGCCAAATCTTCCATTTAAGATTTCAAAATATGCAAATGCAAAGAAGTCTCATATCTCTGAAAAATAGTTTTCAGTGGATAATGGTACAGGGAAAAAAAGAAAAGGTTCATTAAGGTCAGCACAGGATAAGGTACTGCTGCCGATCCTTAAACTTCTTTAGGAGAGATTGCATTTCATACACTGATGACCTGAGCCTCTGAATCCCACCCGTTCCTCCAAGCATGAAATCAGCATGCCATTATCAATTGTTTCAATCTAGGGATCTAAAACTACTAGAACTACATAATTTTCACAATTGTTGCAATTTTTTATTTATTTATTTATTTATGTTAAAAACGGTTAACAGAGCTGATTCTTGTTGTTGAGTTGCTTTAAAACACAAATGAAAAAGTTTCAGGATTTATGTTTTTCCTAGGAGTCCTTTGGTTTGTAGTTAACACTCATTTCCAGTATTTTATTAAGAAAAGGCCATTTTGAGACTGGCATAAAATATATAAGATATCTGAGTGGAGCTCAGGTTTCTTCATCAGACGATGAACAGCCGCATGCTGCAAGTCCTTTGGTACCTGGCCCAATGTCAGACTGCGATTAAGGAAGTTAAGACTAAAGAGTCTCAGCGTTGGAAAGATCTCAAATACACACAGTTTAAAATGACATACAGACTATGTGCATTGATTCATACTGAGGTATTTATCAAATATTTACATATTACACAGGTACTTAAAAATGTATGATATACATCAGCCTATCATAAATTAAAAAATGGTGAAGCAACATCATGACTGTCCACAGTGCAGCAAGATAAACATAAATCTGGACTAGAAGAGTGCCAGTCTTTTGAGAGTTCTCTGAATTACAATGGTCTGGTCAGTAGTGTTTCATACTTTACTATTATTTAGTGAGGATCTGCCCAAAGCCATAGGTGGTAACTAATCAGTAATTGACATTTAGTTGCTGTGAAAGAATGTTTTTGGAATTTGAGATCTTTGTGCAGTAGAGCAGTGGATTATTACTTACATAGCTATAAATAAGTACATAGTGTAAACTACCCCTACAGTGACATTATTTTCTCTGTTGGATTCCTCAAACAAAATCTTTTGTTCAAATATGTAACAATTTAAAATTATTATTCTAAACTCTCATTTTCTTGCTCTATTTTTGATTTTCATTTTTTTTTATATAATTTTAAAATATATGGATTTTATCTAAACAAAGAATTTATTTGAGGAAGCTTTTTCACTTCCAGGGTTAGGAGCTATTAGTTGTGTAGTTAAATATTTTCAGTATGCCAATGTGCACATATGAAGAAAACTTTCAGATTCGTTATCACCTTTTTTGTGAACTGCCAAAAAATAAAACAAAATGAGTGTTTTGGGTAAACTTTTTGACTTGTGTGAAATTAGCATCCAGTTTGAACAGTTGAATTAAAAAAAGAAGTCATGTTCAGAGCAAAACGATGACATTCAAAACCACATGGAATGAGGCTGGTTGATCACAGAAGGATGCCAAGACCGTCATGGTTAAAGGCAACACCCTAGCAGAAAAGAGCAAATGGGCTCTAAACGCGTTGAAAGGCTTACTACAAAGAGATCTTGAGTTTACTACTCTTGGAGAACCTCAATAGAAGAGAGTAGGAAACAATAGTGGGTTAACATGATTGTAATTGTGGCTTTGAGAAGGACCAGGAGCTTTCTGTTGTCTTTGCCGTTCCTTTCCCAGTGAAGGGGAAGTGAGGCGTACTGATGACAAAAGTGACAAGTAATTGGGAGCACAAAGGAGCTGGTTAACCATGGCCCTAAACTTCAGGAAGTGTTAATCAACTGAATCCTGAGGCAGCCAAGCTACTGTGCAATTTTCGCCCGGAGGTAGATTGGATTTTAGCAGCTGGAACGTAGCAATGGGCAGATTGGGTTATAAAAGATTTGTTAAGTACGGCTGATTTGCTTGATTTGCTACTAACATATTTATTGAAACTTCCTGCCAGAATTTCTTTTCTTCATTAGAAGATAACTGGAGCTTACATTCGTAATGCAAATTCTGAAAAGAGCAAACAAAAATGTACAAATTATTCCTGTCCTCTCTGTTGTGATAATATTGAAGACACTGAGTTGTATTCTTTTTTCCACTTTCGACACAAATTAATTATGATACGCCTTCACCCTCACAGCTTAAATAACACATTGTAGATTTGTTTTATCCCTATGTGGCACAGCCACGAAAGAGCACGACAACAGCGGGATCCATTTAAAACATCCAGATTAAATACTAAACAGATTTTCTGGGCACATTATAACAGCTCTGTGATTCCAGTGACTTGCAGTGGAATTTGCGGGTTCGGGAATAATGAACTGCCCAATCTCTGTGTACACAAATGTATCTTTAATGAGTAGTGTCCCAGTTGTTCAATTCATTACAGAGGCTGTCTAACGCTTTCATCCTGTGCTCACCCATGTATGGCCTCAAACCGTGTGTGTCACAGAAGTTGCTTTGTGTGGCTCCCTGTGTGCGCAAGAGGAAATAGGGAAGGGGTAGTTTTAAGTATGAACACATTTGTATTAAATATTTCTGCCCTTCTAGCTTGAGAAGCCAGCCTTAATTAGCACTGTCTGCCCGAGTCAATGCCATGCACGCCTGCCCACAAATAGGCAACAACAGCATGAAGCAAGAAAGAGCCTTTACACCTTCAAGCAACATTTTCTTTCCCATGTGCAATTTTAGTAAGGGCTCACAGGCAAAAGGATCCCTTGACTCCTTTCCTTTGGAAGATGGTGACTTCCAGCCGCTGCACTTCAGACACAAGCTTGAAAAAGGGGAAAATCCTCATTAACTTTTAGGCTTCCTGGTAAATGGCTCTTGTTCTCAGTTTTTTTTTTTTTGTTTTTTTTTTTGTTGTTTTTTTGTCCCTTTTAGGTGGACGCTGAGTAAACTAGTTAGGAATTGAGATTGAGAGTTTTCATGGAATGCACTTCTTTCGAATACATTCAATGAGCCCCTGTGAGAAATCAAGTTCAAACTTATCTGGCTGCTTTGATTGAGATTTTATGTGTTGGCAACTTTTTTCATCTACTCACTCCTAACACTTAAAACTGTTGACTCTATGGGAAATCTTTAAAGAGGAACTGCTGTGACCTTAATTAAACATATGGAAAAACTGGGCACTCACACACACACACACTGAGCTTGAATGTAAAGCAGGCCTATAAAAATATTCCATACATTTTCTGTGGCCAAAGCCGACCTCAGAATGTTAAGAATTTCATTTGATGTTTCAATAAAGTTGTAACACGGCCTCTCCTGCTGCTAAGACATCTTTCTAGTTCTCACTATTGACTATCCTCAGTCATGGTGTTTAGAGAATTGATATTGATCCAGTTGTAGTCAAGAAAAATGAAACAAAAATGATTATGACAGTTATCTTAATCTAGTCATCTGACATAGTTTCAACCAAGCAAACAACTTATGCATCACAAGTTAATGTGTGTTGTGAAAAATTAATGTGCACCACTCATAGTTTTGTGGAAGATTTATTTTCTGAAAAGCTTTGACCTGCCAAAAGTTATTTTAGCCAAAGATGATTTTTCTTGAATAACTGTAACACTGGAACATAAAACAACAGCAAGTCATTTTTCCTAGGCACTAATTAATTGTGTATTTTGGGAGCAGAGGCAACGTTTTGCATGTGTGCGTGTGTTTCGTTTCTAAACAAAGATAAGTTGCCCAGGAAATTAACATTTTAAGCTGTGCCACAACTTCTTGTGATGGCAATTAGCGTGGTTAGCATTGCTAACTCTAAACATCTGTCTACATTTATAGTTCCTAAAGAACTGAGACTTTCCAAATGTAGAACATTTAGTGACAGACCGGAGATTAAAATGTCAAAAGAATAAAGCTTAGCAACATTGCTGTAATAGGTTTCAGTCTTTCTGTTGTCTGCAATTTTATTGCTCTCCTGACTGAAGCTGGACATGCACCATTAGAAAACATGGTTTCTAGTTTCTTACATGTTTTTTTTTTTTTTTTTGTTGTTTGTTTTGCTTCTTTGATTTGCTTGTCAGACATCTCACTGAGATTTTAATAACTTAAAATACCTCATACAGAATCTATAGCAGTGTAATACAAGGCAAAGTGGATAACATTTGTCAAGTCAGTATATGTGGTATGGTGTGATAGTTTTTATAGTTTATTTTACAATTGTATTCACAAGGCTGTTTGGAAGGAAAAGATCACATGCACTTTCTTTGTGGTCCATACGAATAGCAGATACATCAAACCAACAAACCAATACCTCAAACAGAACTCTGTCTCTGTCAAACTGCTCCTAAAGAAAGTTTTTATGGAAAATATCTGGAGTGCAGACTGAGTAAAGCTCGGCAAAGATTGAAGAAATATGACACTTTTGTACTTTTGATAAGCAATCAATCAATCAATCAAATTTTATTTGTATAGCACATTTCAGCAGCAAGGCATTTCAAAGTGCTTTACATAATTTTAAACAGTGAGAAAAAGAAAGTAATAAAAAGATAAAAAGAAAAGATAAAATCACAGCCTAACAGGACAAGGCCTCCAGCCTTGCAGCACCAGGCTCCGTCCGCCTGTTTCGCGAAAATTTTGCGCTAGGACTTTCGCTGTCCTACGCGGATTTTGTGCATTAATTGGTTACCTGGTGAAGCAATGTATGATTCTGAGCACAAAATAGAGTTAGTGATGCCACTGGTCTGCAAGCTCAGCACCAAGAGCCACTGATGCCGTATTATTAGTGTGCAAGATGGAGTTAGTTCAGTCATCACCCAGTGTGAGGTGGCGGCTGTCTTTGCTCGTCTGGTTTCTCCCCTACTCCTCTCTCACTGCATTACCAGCGGGGAGTCGCCTCCCAAAGCCTGAAAAAGACACACTCCATTAATTCTACTGCAGGACCCAGACACAGCTCAGATGTGCGATAAAAAGGAAAGAAAAAAAAAAGAGATAAAACATCCAGCTCAACTAAAATTCACTGAACAGCACTTTTGTAAAAAAAAAAAAAAAATGTTTTTACATATTGTATATGTTTGTGTTCAAGCACACATAATTAAACATGTATGCGGCAAGGAATGTCTTTCAATCTTTTTGTGAACTAAATTTTAAAAAGAGCCATAATTCAATATGAGTTAATATTCTTAACTGGCAATATTCAACAAAAGACACATCACTGAAGACACACAACATTTATGAACATTTGAATTCAAATGTTTTGGTTAGATATTTACCAAACAGAGTCTATGGTGATAAAGCTGCTTCTTTAGTTTTGGTGTTTGAGATTTAACCTCTAATACTGACTGATGGTTTGACACCATCATGCATAAGTAAATAATCTGTAATTTGTCACCCTTGCTGGTGAAGTATCTGCAATGCACTTGTAAAATATAATATATATTTTTTTATTTTTTTTTTTTTTTTTGCTTGTTTCTGTTGCACTCGATGTTGACAACAACTGCAGTTTTGTGCTCTGCAAAAAGTATTCCTTTCTGATAAAAAAATCAAAGTGAACTCTAAAATGTCCTTCCGGTGATTCATATACGAAATTTTCTCTGTAGGTTTTGGACTTTTGTTGCCATTCAAGAACACATTAATGACCAGAGGAGTGTGGGTATTGATTTATGCTTTTTCACAGGAGGGACAGGAGAGCAATCAGCCTCTTCCTCATAACATACGGTGCATCAAAATAATTGGCAGTGTCCAATTATCCTGTGATTCATGTTCAGGAGATCTGACAAGCCAAGTGAATCCAAACTTATTTAATCAGGAAGCCTCAAATATGAATTATGGCTGACTGAATAAAGCCCAGCATTTGAGAAATTGTACAAAAACAATCTATCTACAGTGACACTAAATTTCAGTTATTTTTGCCTTTTTATATGCCTAAATGTTTCATATAAATGGTTTAAATCACACAAAGAAAACTTGGCAAAAAAAAAAAAAAGCTGTTTTAATAAGATATTTCAGACTTTAACTTGAACACATAAGCCATTTTCTATCCTCCCATACTTTGGACCATGGTCCTGCTGCAAAAACAGACGCTCTTGATCTTAAGGTCAAAAACTGACAGCCAGACGAGTCACTTAAAATTTTCTGATGGAGAGCAGAATTATTGGTTTCATCAATAATAGCAAGTCATTGAAATTCAAAAACAGTAAAGTAGCCCCAGACTATCATGTTACCAGGAGGCGATTACTTCTTCACATCAGACCAGATTGAGTTGGATTTCTTTTTTTTTCTCTGAAAATATTAAATCACCAGTTGAAAACAATTTGTTTTTGTTTTAAACTACAAGTATTTCATACTGGTTGGAATAAAACTATTCAAAATTGATGCACACTTTGATTGCAATTAATCATGATCAACTCCATAGAGAATCTTGCTCCATCATAAGGTAATTTTATACTAAGATGTGTATATAATTTGTCTTTTGTAGCCCACTCTCACTGATTAAGGATCCTACCCTTGACTTCCGTCCGGGTCTTGCAGTTATGTTTCCGAAATCATGAAGTGTCTGGATTGATCATCCATAAAGTAATGAGGGCACATGAAAATGTCAGCATCAATTACTCATATTGCATGCACCAAAAAAAACAAAAAAAACAGCACAAACAAATGTAAAAGAAAACAACTAACGGAATCAAGAACATTCTATATCTGTTTCAGGTAGGTTGTCCTAATTATGAATCATATCATTTATGTATCCTAACATGAATTATTGTTACAAATGTTTTCATATGGTGTAGAAATCCTACTTTATTTAGAAAAATAATGTGTATCAAATCAAACTGTCTGGAGCCCACAGTTCAGATGGACACTAAGTTATGGCAGGTGTAAAAAAAAAAAAAACATCTACGTTCTACAAAGAAAGTTATACTTATTTTGTAATTTGTCTCTCTTCAGCTATTAGCTTCCTAGTTTCACTGTCTCTACACTCTTTATCGAGTGTATAGTATAGACAGCATATTTGTACTGCTTTTCAATTCTAGTCAGTAGACTAATATGAACATATTGGCCAATGGAATGTGCAGAGTCCTGCCCTGAGGACACTGTAAACAATGTGCACAGCTGTCACACCCACCTATTTCCAGAGATGGACACTGAGAAAATTGGAATAAGTAACAAATGTCTAACATCAAGATCCCACATGAAAGATCAAGAACCATGCTCAAACACTTTATAGGGTAAGGACACAATGACAGGTCAAGCTTGAGACAGAGCATTTGAAAAGAAAATGTCTTCCAACCATGAAATGTCATTGCTGTCAATCACTAGGCAGATTTAAACTGGCATCAGAGACGGTACAGAGTGGCTTCTGTCAGTTAGGACATTTCATTGTTGCTTTTGAAACAGAAGGACCTTAATTGAAACAAATAAATACAAAACTATGCCTGCGAGTCTATAGTTTGATCAATGTATTCAAGCCCATGATCACATTGTCCATTTGATTCCAATCAGGGAAATGTGATGCCTTCACCTCATAGATTCTTTCTGGTAAAGCCAAGAAATACTAGTAGGTCATTTGTGATACTTGTAAACTAGGCTAGTGGAAGCTCTAAGATGAAGATGGCGGTATAAATTGAAATTAAGTTATACTCCTTAGCGTGTTTGTGACACACACACACACACACACACAATTCTGAAAGAACACATAGGCAAATAGTTCACCATGTTGACTTGTTGACTGAAAATGTTGGAGGTTCTTGGTTTTAATGGATTTAATAAATAGGTTATCATTTAGGAGTTTTGAGTCTCTGACCAGTGGATGCTTAATCTGAATCTAATCTAAGAAAAAAAAAAAACTGGCCAATTTCAGCTTCTGTTCAATCAACTAGAGCATCTCTAGCTTTCTAGTGTACGCAGTGAAAAAGTTTACCTTGTTAGATGTACTGTTGTACAAAAAAATGTAATGGTCTGTGTGACAGCTGTTCCTGCTGCCATACGTCAGACAAGTGGCTAAACGTTACCAGCTACGTCAGAGCTTCAGATGGAGTACCACATCAAGGAAAAAATGCTAGTTGTATCAGATTTCTATAAATACCAAAACCACTAAAGTGGATCATACCACTGTCTGAATGCAAGGGGAGGGGAGAGTTGATGTTAATCATTTGTTCTGTTTTCTTTTTTTTTGCACACATAGTCCTGACCCAAAAATGTTTGTTTTTTTATAGGTCAATTATTACTACCTTTCTGACTAGTGTTTGTCACTCAAGTCTAACAATCAAATTGTGTTAGTTTGCTGGTTGGTATTTCCTTTTTTTGTGTGTGAAAACAATGATCTGATCAGCCATTAATTGAAGGGTAACTAGCACCCCTCTGAAAGCTAAACCCCGCCCCTCAAGTCAGAATCTTTATTTTGTATGTAGTGTATTTACAGTATACACTGTATAGTGTACTTGAAGCAGAAATCCCCACATATATTTTTAAAAAAATTCAAAACAATTTCAAAAGATAGTTTTAAATCTAAAAATGGCAAAAGCAACTGGCAGACCATAGCTCTCCAAGAAAGAGCTAAAATCACTGAATACATACAGATTTCATTCACAGCACTTAATTGAGTTAGTCTCATAAAATCGTACTAAATTACACGAAATGTGAAATGTCATGTGTTGGATTGTGGGAAAGTGTGCACCTCAAAATACAGTTAAAGCCGTTTTCTTGCAGTGAATGTCAATTTTACATGTAAAAAGACAAATACTTACATGCATAATCTGTTCTTCTCGGTCTCAAAACAGAATTTTTTTTGCAGCAGCACATCATTTAGGTGAGATAAACGACAAACTATGAGCCAGAGAGGGAGAGGCTACATCAGCTTCTGCTTGGATGAGCATATAGGGCACGGATGCACCACGCGCCCTGAGGTGAGGGTAGAAGGGCTTTTTTTTCTTTCTTCTTTTTCTCTTTTTATATATACACATCAAGCAAGCTTCACTGCTTTCTTGTGACACAGCTCCTGCCTTAGAGAAGAGTCAGGCCTTTTCTGAATTAATACAAAAAAAAAAAAAAAAAAACGGGTATTAGTATAACTGATTAATTGTTTAAATAAACATATTGGTAGTTTTTTGTATATGGCATCAGTAGAAGTTTAACCAGTTTTGATTAAAAGCATTCGAAACAAATATTAATTTATTTGTATTTGAGCCGTTTTGATAATGGGCTAGAGCCCATTATCTAGTCTTACTCATACTTTAAATGTTATTCCTACCTGATGGACATTCCTTTAATTTAAGAGAAACAATGGTTATTTTTTTTTTCTTCTTTAAAATGGGACATTTCCCTTCAAATGTCCCATTACCAATACTTTTCCCTTCAAAAGTATTTGTATTGTTCAATCCTGACAGACTGATGGCAGGCTTTGGAGAGATTCTTCTTCGGCAGGGTCAGTGCGTCTAGCTTGATGGTAAGGTGGATGGAGGTGAATGAAGAACAACACTGGAAGACAAACTGTTATAACCATCTAAAGAGACAGAGACAGAAATTCACCTTCCAGTAAAACAATGCACTACATAACAGCCAGGCTTCCAGTGAGATGTTTTAGATTTATGCCTCCATGTGTTAGAATCACCCCTTGACCTTACAGATTTAGATCCAATTGAGGATTTTTGGCGACACTGTAGAATTGCTTTTTGCATATGCTCCCCGTCCAGTCTAACTGAGCTTGAGCTGTTTTGCTAAACAGCTCCAAGAAACATTTGCAAATATGTCAATCTGTGATGTGCAAGGCTATTTTGAGACATATCCAAAAAGACTTGAATACACACACACACACACACACACACACACACACACACTATGCTAAGTTTACCAAGACCAACAGTGCATTCTTTGCTTTGGTCTTTAGATGATTTCAAAAAGTCAAGTAAAT